ATTATAATGTAGAGCTCATAGGCTTTATTGTTAGAGTTCACAACATTAGATTTTACTATAAAAGTAGATTACAGTGTTATTGTTATAGGGTTACAATGTACAGCTATAACAGTTATATTGTTAGAGTTTATAATGTGAGTTTTTGGACGTGCCCTGTCCTCGTGGGACCCCACACGCATTTGTAAATAATTGCAATGACCATGATTGGGCTGAGATTTGAGCGCCTAATGTTTACTTTGTTTCAACAAAACTGAGTGCAGGTTAGTGCCATCTGGGCTTAGTGAATACCACTCATGAATGAACTCATGCAGGAATGTGATTAGTACTACATATGCCCGTGCTGCATATGTAGTACTAATAACATTCCTGCATTTCCCATAAATATGCTAAATTCCTCTTGATATGCAAATTCTTTTGTCAAGGCGCTCTTTCCCCCGCTTCCAACCCAGCTTATATACATGCTCCAAGCTCGTGTGCTGTTTCATTCAGACGCTGTCTCCCCGACAGACCTGGTTTTCACCTGAGGACGGCTGCTTGCGTTGTGGCCGAAACGTCGTGAGAATTATTTTATGGTTTATTTTTATTATTTTATTACTTCCCTTCTACGTGACTTTACCGAAAGAACCAAGAAGAGAGGATATCTATGAACAGGTTTGCCAAACTGTGAATGGTTTGGAGCTGAACTGGGCTAAACTAGCCAGTGTGACAACTGATGGTGCTCCTAGCATGGTGGGGTCTAAGAAAGGAGTAATTGCTCGCATTAACCAAGAGATGGACAAACATAACCATTCTCATCCAATAGCCATACACTGCCTCATCCACCAACAAGCGCTGTGTAGTAAATCACTGAAGTGGGACTCTGTTATGAAATTTGTGGTATCTTGTGTTAACTTCATTGGAGCTCATGCACTAAACCACAGACAATTTCAGGAATTTCTGTCTGAGCTAAATGCTGACTATGAATATATTCTGTATCACACAGAAGTCCGTTGGCTGAGTCGAGGGAGAGTTTTGAAACGTTTTTATGACTTACTTCCACAGATTACAGCTTTTCTGCTTAAAAAAAACAAAGAAGTACCAGGGCTCAATGATGCAGAATGGAAATGGCACCTTGCCTTTCTGACAGATGTAACAGAGCTACTCAACAGTTTCAATGTGCAACTTCAAGGAAAGGGGAAGCTCATCTGTGATATGCAATCACATGTCAACGCATTTGAAGTACAATTAGGCCTCCTCATCAAACAAGTGAAGGAGGAAAACTTATGCCATCTCCCCACAACTCAAAATCTGTTAGCGGAAAAAACATTGGTTGCATTCCCAAACAAAACATGTGTGGATTCACTGGAAAAATTGCAAAAGGAGTTCCAATTTGGATTTAAAGAGCTTCATCTCCATGAACAGGACATACAGCTTTTCCGTAACCCATTTTCTATTGACGTTGAAAATGTGGATACAATTTACCTAATGGAACTGGCTGAACTGCAGAATTGTGACTCTCTGAAAGACGCATTCAAGTCAAGCAGCCTTCATAATTTCTATGCATCTCTCCCCTCTGAGACATATCCTCATCTCAGGAACCATGCACTCAAAATGGCAACCATCTTTGGCAGCACTTATGTCTGTGAACAGACGTTTTCCAGAATGAAACATTTGATATCTCCAACCAGATCTAGACTAACGGATGCACACTTGCATCACTTGCTACGACTAGCAGTGACAAATATGGAACCGGACATTGACCATCTCATTAGCCAAAAGCAGGCCCATAGTTCCCATTGAAATACTGGCAAGTTTGTTGATTTAACTTTACTTGTTCTTCATTTTAAATATTGTATTTGTTCCCGTTTTGTTTCTTCACTTCAAAATAAGATATATGCAGTGTGCATAGGAATTTGTTCATAGTTTTTTTTAACTATAGTCCGGCCCTCCAACGGTCTGAGGGACAGTGAACTGGCCCCCTGTTTAAAAAGTTTGAGGATCCCTGCTTTAAACGAACGTTATCACGTCATTCGCCCTCCGAGCCCTGACCCCCGTTCAGAGCGTGTGATCGCTGGGCGGGGCTGTGTGAGGGGAGGCGTCGCATTGGATTGGAGGAGAGGCAACGATGTGTTTACAGGCGTACGGGAACCGGCGACGAGCCATGTCCCTCTCGCGAACTCGCGGAGGTGCGAACCAGGGAGGTGAACCGTCGGGCGACAGTCCTTACCCCGCGAACGATGAGCCCAGCGGCGGCAGCAGCTGTTCGCAGACCAGCGAGGGGTCGGGGAACGGCGGGACCCCCCCCTGCAGTCGGCGCCCAGCAGGGAGAGACCTCGGGGGCCAGCGGCAAAGACAGGACCACGGTGTGAAGCTAAGAATTCGAATGAGATTCGAATATCACACTTCAAAGTACGGTGTTCTAATCTGTAACAATAGTTTATGATGTTATTTTATAGCGTTATAATGTATCGCTCATAGCTTATATTGCTAGAGTTCACAACATTATAGTTTACTATAACACTAGTTTGTAGTGTTATTTTAAAGGGTAAGGCGCTGTGACTGGAGTTAGGCGATGTGACTGGGTGATCACACGGATTCCGAAACACAGCGGAGACGACACATTCCACCGAGCTCCGTCTCCACACATGGACAACGACATTCTCAGTTTAAAAAAATGCATAGAAATGTTTAAATACGTTTTTGAAATCATGTGTATTGTATATATGTTATAATGTGTGATTGTTATACTCTTTATATATGTTATAATGTGTGATTGTTATACTCTTTACCACAAATTAATCCAACAGTGGACAGTGTGATTCTAATACGACTATAGTGGGATTCGAATAATTGTAATTCGATTAGAACAACCTACATTGAAGTGTGATATTCGAATCGCATTCAAATTATTCGAATCACTCCGTGGTCCTCTTCGAATCAGACTACGGTCGTAAGTATATAACATTCATGCATGTAACATGTCTGTATGCAGTAAGTATATGTGCATTTTATATGTCTGTTTGTAGTAAGTATATGTGCATGTAACATGTCTGTACGTAGTATGTATGCATGTAACATGTATGCATGTAACATGTATGCATGTAACATGTATGCATGTAACATGTATGCATGTAACATGTATGCATGTATGTAATATGGACGTGCGAACCAATGGTGGGATATGTGAAACGGAACGTGCAGAATCAGGATGGGATTAAAATTATTTGAATAACACTTTGGTGGTATTAGGATCAAGCTGTCTACTGCTGGATGTTAATCTCAATGGCATCAAATAGCAATATTCAGTATGTATATAAAAAATAATCACACAAACCCAATATTACATACATACATGTTACATGCACAGGTTGTTCTAATCTATTACACTAGATAATAATGTTATTGTATAGCGTTATAATGTATCGCTTGAGGCCCGGGGTGCCTCAAGGATCCGCCACGTGCGAGGAACCGGTGCCTGGAGCCTGGTCATATTCTTCAAAAGAAGCCAGGGACCTGCCTAATCCTTCAAGGCTGTGGTGCGAACCCTTGACGCCCCGAAATGGACAAGATTCTACCATGGGCGAGGGACGGGCGTCGAGAACCAGGTCAAAATGCGCAAGGTTGCGCTTGTAGGCTCCACGCAAAATATCAATACTGGATAGTGCTATTCGGTGCCATTGCAATGTAACATTCTACCAGCAGTGGGCAGCTTGATTCTAATACGACCATGGTGCGATTTTAATAATTTTGATGCGATTCTAAATCTGGTACCACCCAGGCCGCATTTACGACTCCCGATGTGCATCTCCATTTAACATACATTCTAGCTCAGTGTAATTCTAATACTACCAAAGTGTGATTCTAATCGTTTTAATCCGATCATAATCCTGCACCCCCCAATTCGCATATCCGACCACCGGTTCGCATGTCCAAAGGCCATATATGCATATTACATTCGTACATACGAGCACAGTTCGCTTGCACGTACGCTATACATACATATGCGCAGAGTGTGATTTTAATACGATCACGTTGAAATTCTACTGCTTGTAATGAGATTATGATACCGTACCTCTGTTTTTGGTGTTATAAATGATGAAACTAGTTTATAGTATTTTAATGTGTTATCGTTTATAGTGTTACAGTTCACATGTCATAGCGTACAGGATTCCCGGTATACTTGATGGTTAGGGACCGTAACGTTGTGAATCGATTAATAATGGGGCCCTTTCCCCTCCAGGAACACATGTTAATGGGGAGACTGCCGGTTAAGGGCAGATTTGTGTGACGAAGATCCTCCGCCTGAAACTCGCTTAAAACACGTTGTTGATATGAATAAATGAACGGACACACATTTGTTAAAAAAAACTTTTTATTCATCTGCAATCAAGTCAAAACTCGAACCGAATGTATTATGTCCTATGTTCAAACAGTTACAATACAATGCAAACCATATCCGTTCCAGGAATACCAACGCGTTAAAGTATCATTCCCCATTATTTCCTTATTAGTTCACCACATTTGTTCACTGTGCGTCTATGTTGAAGTCAAGGCCATATATCCAACGAACGCGTCATCAATGTACATCCTGAAATCGGCTATCTTAAGTCGATTAATACCAACCAAAAAAATCTATATGCTTGAAAAAACCCGTTTAAAATGTTGAGAAAAGATCTAACTAAAGATGCATTCCAACTTTAGCTCAACAGGAAGACTTAAACACTACAATATTGTCCGGAATTGAATTATATCACAACCACTGCTCATCACGCCACTTCGGCAAGTAATAACATTACAAACCACCATTGTGCACGTCATTACACTCTCACAAAAACTGTAAGTCATCCCTGACTCTCGGTTTGATCGTCGAGCCACTCCATTACATCCAGCCATCTCTCGGGATCCAACTGCATGGGATCGAGGGTGGAAAATTCTTCAGGACTCAATGCAGCACCTTGAACTTCAGCTTTTGATTTCAGTTTCCAATCATTGTGGACCTTCTGATGCGTGCTAAGATTTGACGACTGTGAAAATGCCTTCCCACACACAGGGCACAGGAATGGCTTCTCGCCCGTGTGTGTTCTCTGATGGTTTTGAAGAGTTGATGATTGTGCAAATGCCTTCCCACACACAGGGCACAGGAATGGCTTCTCGCCCGTGTGCGTTCTCTGATGAGTTTTAAGAGTTGATGACCGTGCAAATGCCTTCCCACACACAGGGCACAGGAATGGCTTCTCGCCCGTGTGCGTTCTCTGATGAGTTTGAAGAGTTGACGATTGTGCAAATGCCTTCCCACACACAGGGCAAAGGAACGGCTTCTTGCCCGTGTGTGTTCTCTGGTGTCTCTGAAGATCTGATGGCCATGAAAATGACTTCCCACACACAGAGCAATTGAATGGCTTCTTGTCTCCGTGTGCGTGGGGCTGTGGAGAGCGTCTCTGCTCCATGTGAGCGTAGTAACAGCAGCGGTGTTATCGAGTTAAAAGTACGCTATCGGCCGCAAGGATGTTTAGCGTTGAGTTTTGTTAACTGCTATAACAAGAACGACACTCGCGTCTAAGCGAGACGCAAAAAAAATCCCATAAATTTGACGACGAACACGTTTAAGAGTTTATCCGCGAAAATAGACACTTACTTGGAGATTCACGATATATCGGTGTCTGGAACCCGTCTAAAGATGTCGCCACGAACTCTCCCGACGCAAAGTCGCCTAACTGTCGACACAGCAATTGTGCTCGCCAGGCTGCGTTGTCTCGCGGTTGAAGGGCGATCAGCAGAGCGACGAGTCGAGTGTCCAACCTCATCAAGTTCCCTCTCGAAATGGCATTGAGCTCTGTTTCTGAGCCGACTTATAACTCCCCCCTAGGATCCAATCCTTTGTCTTTCAAGATATTTGCATTCGATTGTTAATTTTGGAAGGCACAATCCGCATGTCTTTTAACATACCGAAGGGTAATGTGCCCATTGTGCTTCATGCATGAATATGTAAGTGCATCTCAGTTTGTAATTGTGCGCTTATTTTGAATAAATGGAAAAACTTTGTCCTCGATTTAAAGTGAATGCAGAGAAATTAGCATGTAACTTTAGAAAAGGAAGAGAGCGGCCTTCTCGACGAGGGAGTGAAACAATATCCCAAACTCAACGCTAAACATCCTTGCGGCCGATAGCGTACTTTTGACTCGATAACACCGCTGCTGTTACTTCGCTCACATGGAGCAGAGACGCTCTCCACAGCCCCGCGCACACGGAGGCAAGAAGCCATTCAATTGCTCTGTGTGTGGGAAGACATTTTCATGGCCATCACATCTTCAGAGACACCAGAGAACACACACGGGCGAGAAGCCGTTCATGTGCCCTGTGTGTGGGAAGACATTTGCACATTCATCACATCTTCAGAGTCACCAGAGAACACACACGGGCGAGAAGCCGTTCATGTGCCCTGTGTGTGGGAAGACATTTGCACAGTCATCACATCTTCAGAATCACCAGAGAACACACACCGGCGAGAAGCCATTCCTGTGCCCTGTGTGTGGAAAGGCATTTGCACACTCGTCAACTTGTCAAGACCATCAGAGAACACATACGGGCAAGAAGCCATTCCTGTGCTCTGTGTGTAGGAAGACATTTGCAAAGTCATCACATCTTCAAAGTCACCAGAGAACACACACGGGTGAGAAGCCATTCTTGTGCTCTGTGTGTGGGAAGGCATTTGCACGGTCATCAACCATGAACATGCATCAGAAGGTCCACAATGATAGGAAACTGAAATCAAAAGCTGAAATTCAAGGTGCTGCAATTGGTCCTGAAGAAGTTTCCACATTCGATCCCATGCAGTTGGATCCCGAGAGATGGCTGGATGTAATGGAGTGGCTCGGGGATCAAACCGAGAGCTCGGGGTGACTGAAAAAATATTACGTCATGTGGTTATACCTATTAAGCCGTATCGAGTACTTTTGTGCGTAATTTTGACCATTTTAGTTTTATTGTTTTTGTGAGAGTTTCGTGACGTGCACAGTGGTGGTTTGTAATGTTATCGGATTACTTGCCGAAGTGGTGTGATAAGCACTGGTTGTGAGAGGGTTCAATTGTAGTCGTTACGTGTTCCTGTTGAGCTAAAGTTGGAATGCGTCTGTATGTACATCTTTACTCAATATTTTAAACGAGTTTGTCAAGTATACAGCTGTTTTTGATTGGTATTAATCGACTTTAGATCGCCGATTTCAGGATGTACATTGATGACGCGTTCGTTGGATATATGGCCTTGACTTCAACATAGACGCACAGTTAACAAATGTGGTGAACTAATAAGGAAATGCTTTGGTATTCCTGGAACGGAAATGGTTTGCATCCTACTGGAAATGTGTGAACATAGGACATAATACATATTTCCTTCGAGTTTTGACATACAAATGATTGCAGATTAATAAAAAGTATTTTAAAAAATGTTTGTCCGGTCTTTATTTTATAATGTTCCTAGCAAAAATATGTTAAGATAATTTCAGGAGGAGGATCTCCGTCACACAAGTGTGCCCTTAACCGGCAGCATCTTGGCTGTCTACCCGATTAACACGTGTTCCTTGATGGGAAAGGTCCCCATAGTTAATCGTTCATCAACGTACCAGTCCCTAATCCCGAAGAATGTCGTGGATAAACTGTACTCTATAACATGTAAACTGTAATACTATAAACGATAACACTAAACATTAAATGATTATAAACTAGTGTTTTAATTTATAACCATATAAACGGAGGTAAGGTATTATAATATCATTATAAGCAGTAGAATCACAGTGTGGTCTTATTAAAATAGCACTTTGCTCATATGTATGTATAGTGTACGTGCAAGGATCGGATTAAAATACTTACAATTACACTACGGTCGTTATAGAATCACGATTTTCACTGCTGGATGAATGTTCCATCTCAATGGTATCGAAGAGCAATAGACAGTTTTCCATTAATAAATAAACGCACAAACACATTATAAGCTCATGAGCTTATGAATCGTTACAATTATTATAACAATCACAAATTGTAACAAAGCGAAATTCCCACTAAGCAAAACACCACGCTCACGTGGCGGATTCTTTAACAAACTGCAACACTAAAGTGACAGAACTCAACAAGAAATGCGCACGACAAGTTCAACAACAATGGACAAATCCTAAAAACAGACAACACGCACGTTAGTAGCTGTTAGAAGAAGACAACACCTAGCACCTTCAACTTTACACATTATACAGCCCCAAAGATCCAACTCGAATATTAGGCGGTATATGACACCATTTGAACTTCCTACTTTCGTTTTCGATTAATGAAGATATTCTTGGCAAATACTATCGCTTTCGCTTGTGATGTACCTCCTAATTATGGCCTCAGGTTAAAAAAAGAAATTTATTTCGAATTCCTCCATTATTCCAAGCTGCACAATTCAGGGTTGTGGACCGCTTTGAATGCTTCAATTTAATCACAGTAAATGCTTCAGACCACATCAGGACACTCAACCTAGAGCATATTTGAAGCAACGTGATGAGATGGCTAAGAACTTCAAGTTTATTCTAGTGTTAACGATATTTTAGCAATATAGGTAAGTACACTTTGTGATAAGAATTCGTCAACATAGCAGGTGTCTTGTTCTCCATAATCAACCAAAATTACGACAAATTTAGTCATAAATGAGTGTGAGCTAATTATTCGGTAGTATTCGCTAATCTCCGTCACACAAGTCTGCCCTTAACGAGCAGCATCTTGGCTGTCTCCCCATTAACATGTTTCCAGAGGGGAATGGCCCCGTTATAAATCGTTTCGCAGCATTCTGGTCCCTAATCCCGAAGTACAATATACTGGAGATCACCTGTACTCTATAACATGTCAACTGTAACATTATAAACGATAGCACTAAACATTAAACTACTATTATTTTAAAGCGTCGCAATGTATAGTTTCCGTTTGCCGAGCGCCCCACCACGTCGGACACACCAGACTTGGGCTGTACAGGATATGGGGATGAGCTGTCTGGGTGGGGACGGACATAAGTCTTGAGGCGGGATGGGTGGATGAACCAACGGCGATGCCCTATCTACATTCGTACACACTTAGGCCGTTTCACCTCTATGACTTCAGCTGTATCACTATAAACGATAACACTCAACATTAAACGACTATCTTAAACAACTACGCTGGTTTGGTCGTCTGCGTGCGTATCTGGACGTTAATTTATTTACGGACCCGCCCAAACAGCTAGCTCTGATTCGTCGATAAAAATTAATAAAACAGCCGGCAAAAAGCCACAGCTCACTTTCATTCGACAAATATAAATAAATAAACCTGCCGCACAACAGCGTCTCTTCGGTCAACAATTGCACCTACTTTCACACAACACCATATTCACAGTGATGGTCGCAACGCAAAATCTACTGTAGGTACAGTGTTGCTGTTGCACCCGCCGAACGCTGCGTTCTGGTGGCGATATCTCCCCAACGAAGAACGTCCGCGGCTGCAACCAAGAACCCTCCACTAATCAGATAGCCACATACATTTTCAATTCCAGAACTTTCAATAAAATCTGTTCATTATTGGTGGGGTTCGGTTCGACGGCCCAGTGGACAAAACTGACCACTCTTTCGTACGCAGCTCCATCAATATTACGCCCATTCCCTTGAAACCACTGTGCTTAATCTTTAATTGGGCCGAAACAAGTGTGTGCAAAGTGGCCCTGCACAGTTCCCGGCCCTACATATCAAACCAGCGCTCGATCTCATTGGACTAATTAATTATCCCTTACATTTAATTGCCTCAAAGTGGCCTGCGTGCTTTGTGGCGGCAGCACGCGTCAGTCAGTCAGTCGTCCGTTTCCAAACATGCAGAAGCACACAGAAGGTAAGCGCTGTGTGATAGCATAGGTCTGACAAGGTCTGCGCCGCAGTGGTGCAGTGCACTGTGGGCGCAGACCCTGCGCTATGTGAGTGGTGTGTATGCAAGTGTGCGAATGGTAGTTACGCTAATATTACGTATGTTTATGTAAATGGACCGCATAACACCGACAAATAACATTTTCGAAATGGTGGAGCGCATATCGATGCTGCGTTACTAATAAAATCAAACAAAACAAACCGCTGCATCTGTAAGTGTGCCAGTGTGCGCTTATGGTGGATAGTGCTGCGTGCGGAAGTGAGGGTCATCTTTGGGTAAAACAAACACTCTGAACGCGCAAGAACATAGCTGGCGGTCGCGTAGGGACTTGGTAGCGAGCAGGGTAGAGGCACTGCGTGTATTATATCTGTCGTCACTACGTCTGTGCGTCAGTCGGAGGGACTATATCTGCCAGTACCCGTGCGCAACAG